AGGAAAGAGGAAAGTGGGAGAGAGCGAGATTGAGGAAGAGGATGGAGAGTTTTGGCGTTGGGCGCCCTCGGGAGCTGGGGGAGGGGCCTGGCCTGGAGGTGATCGCGCACCCCACCCTGCTGGACAGTGCCGGTTCCGTACCCGCTGTGCCCAAGCCTGAGCCCGGTCTCCCTGGCTCAGGTCCCCCACCCAACCCAGGACCGTCTGGTTGTGGATGTCACATGAGGAGTGTGCCCAGGTGGGGTGTGCGAAGACCCTTTCGTGAGCCTCTTGGGCACAGAGAGGTCAGAGTCGCTCCCCCTTGCCCGCAGGAGGCCACTGGTCCTGCAGCCCTAGCTGGGGCCTCAGTTTGCAGTGTGTCACAGGGTTGCTGTTTGGACTTGGAGCTATAGAGCATGGTTCTAGGAGCTGGGGCCTCGGTCTTTCAGGAGACTCAGGGATATGTTCAAGGACAGAGCAATGGCTGGAGGTGGCCTCTGAGGATAACTCCACACCTCGCCTGCAGCAGGCCTGGGAAGACATTGTGATCTGTGAGCAAGGGACCATGGCTGGCAGCCCGGCCATTTCCGAGGGCTGCGTGGTCACACCCACCAACGCCAAGCCCCGGCCGTTAGCTGGTATGGGCTCTGCTGGGCTGGGGTGGTGTCACCCAGCACTGATCCTGAGCCCCGACACCCAGAGTGAGTCTGCCTGTCATGTGGCCGCAGCTGAACTGTTCTTCTGGACCACCCGGGGCTGCCAGGGACTCTGGGGGAGCATTGCCAGCCAGGAGCTGGAGATGACATCGGGAGCTCCCAGCAGCCAGAGAGGATGCTCTCCTGTCACCCTGTCTTGCTCTGGGTCTGTCTATGGAATACCAGGGGTGTTGTGCTGAGCCCCGAACAACTGGGAGGGGGTGACAGGAGTCTGCATTTTCACATGAAGACCAATAGGCTGGTGGCCCAGGGCACCCAAGCCTGCTCAGGACTCTGCACACAGTAGGTGCTTGCTGAACATTCACATGTTGGAGCCAGTAAGGGTTAGTCCATATATGGCTGCAGAATCCGTGGCCGGGAGGAGGAGGCTGGTGGCCAGACCAGCACACCCACCATGGAGGCCACTCTTGTAGCATTCTGTGCTGCCACCACCCTAGGCTGGGGGAACTTTCCCACCAGGCGACTCCCTGCCTCCGGGGGATGGGACTGTGCTGTCTCTGGCCTTCTATCTCTCATTGCAGGCATCTTGCCAGCTGTTGCGCCTCCTGCCAGCCCTGTAATGGGCTGGGCCAGCGGGGGTGGGTGGGGGCAGGCTCCCTTGGCTCCTCTTGGCTCCCCTTGGCTAGGGCAACCCCAGTTCACAGATACCAGTGGGTGCCAGGGAAGGATGGCACCCACCCACTGGGGTTGCAGGATGACCGGGAGGCGAGAGGCTCTCTGCAGGGCTTCTGCATAGGGTAGGAGCAGACCTAATCTCCAAGCAGGACCTGCATGGCCACTTTTTCTCCTCTCAACTGGGGCCAGTCAAGGGGCAGGTGCTCCCAGCCCCACCCGACCTCAGGCTGGAGCAGTCCTGACCCAGCCTGCTGCCTTGTGGTTCCTTCTCTCTGCAGTGGCCATTTGCCAGTGCACTCCTATGCACTCCTCAAGGCCCATCTCAGAAGGCCCCTTCTTGGGGGAGTCCTTTTGGTATCTGCAGCATACACTTTCGTCCCCACTTCAGATCACACCAAGGCACTAGGCTGGAATTTATAACTCAGTTTACCCCACCAGCCCATGAGCCTTTAAGGGTTTCCACTGCCTTCTTTTCCTCCCACCACACCCATGCCAGCTCTGCTCTGTTGTGGGAGTAAGTGACTGTGTGTTCTCAGCCCTCAGCAAGGACCCTGAGAAGATGGCGGGTTGGGTGGGGGCGGGAGGAGCTAAGGAGAGAGCAGGCAGGGGACCAGGAAAAGAGGAAGTGAGAAGTGGGGGCTCCCTTTGCCTTGCCTCTGCCCTAGGGCACCTGGGCAGGGAGCACCCCACTGCTCTGGAAGCCCCATCTGGGCAGGATAGGTGAGAGCACACACACAACAGTGAGGCTGGGCAGAAGCAGGAAACTGAGGCAGGACTGATAGGCGCCCAGAACAGAAGTCTGGCACGAAGGACTGCAGGTTCAGGGCTCCTGGGGCAGCAGCCTGGCCTTTAGCCAGCCTCCTACTGGCCCTCCCTGGGTTAAGTGTCACTTGGAATATCCCCGGGGACTGGGTCAAAAAGGCTGTGGAGTCAGGATTCCAGCCCCACCTCAGTCCTTAACAGGTAAAGTATTTTCTTGAGACCTGAAGAGGACAACCGCCAGCTGTAGGTCACACAGCATAGTCCAGGGGACTCTGCCCAGGTTCTCAGGGATCCTAGGCCCCTCTGAGCTTCTGGACCTTAGGGCTCTTGGGGGCCTGTGTGTGGGGATCCTGTCTCCTGGTGGCTTCTTAGCCGCTTCCCCACCCTTTCCAAGAGACCAGCCATGACTTCCTCCCTCCCTCCTCTCCCACAACAGCAGCAGCTTTCCTGCCCAGAGAGGGTAAGGGACCCAGCCAGGCTAACAGGGACTCAGCCTGGAGCTGAACCCAAAGGGCCTTCCGCTGAGCAGCTCCTAGATCACACAGCACCTGCATGCCACCCCGAGCTACGCTTACCAGCCAACCTCACTGCTTCAGCAGTGTTTTGAGTACTGGGAATGAAGCGGGCATGATCATTCAGGCAGATCTTAAATAAGACAGCGAGAGAACAAATTTGCTGCTTCCAGGAAAGAAAGCAAAAGTTTTCTTTAAGAGGAGGCCCCTTTTTTTTTTCCCTGTGTGATACTGGGGATTAAACTCCGGGTCTTTGCAGTGAGCTATTTCCCTAGCCGTCTTTTGAGACAGTCTCTCTGTATGATCCAGGCTGGCCTTGAATTCACTTCGATCCTCCTGTCTCAGCCTCCGGAGTACTGGGATTACAGACATGCACCACCACGCCCAGCTCCCTTTTTTATTTTTTATTTTGAGATGGTCTTGGAAAGTCATTAAATTGCCCAGGGAGGGCTCCTTCTTTTGGTCTTTCTGCCTCAGCTTCCCAGAGTGCTGAGATTATAGTTAAGCAACACTGTATCTGGTTTGGGGCAGGGTGGGGGGCTTCTTACAGGCTTGGAGGGCTCCACTGCAAAGGGGACCATCCAGCTAAGCAGGATGTGCACCCTACCTGCAACTAGCCCCAGCCCCAGCCTCTCCCAGTCTCTCTCTAGTGGCCACCTGGGCTGGGTTATCCCACACCTTCCCCAGCTGAGGGGGATTCCTGCGCTGGAGGAACTGGGAACTGCTCAGGCTTCTTGGAAAAGGATTTTTTTCCTGGTACCTGAAATCAAAATCAAGTCCTTAAGCTTGTGAAGCAGGCATGGTGCCACTGAGCTGAATCCCTGGCCCCTTGTTTTTTGACACAGGGTCTCTCTCTATGTATGTAGTTCAAGCTGGCCTTGAACTTGCTTTGTAGCTCAGACAGAACTCCAACTCACAGCTATCCTCCTGCCTCAGCCTCCCGAGAGCTGGGATGACACACACTCACAACTGAACTGCCCCCGGCCTTCTTGGGAGAGTTTTAAAAATCCTAAAGAAACTACCCTTTGTCTCTGAGCCCCTAGGACTGGGGAGAAACTACCCACCTCAGGGGAGTTCCCAGACTTGCTGATTTGGTTGAATTATTCAGAAACAGAAAAAGAGTGGACCTGGGCTTCCCCTGCACACCCTCAGGCCCTTTCTGCCAGAGCCCCATACCCTAGCTATTCCTTCCCAGCTGCACACAGAGGCCACCCAGAGACCTGTAGCACTGAGTGGGATTTCACAGGTGGGGCATGGGGCAGCTGGGGGCATTCCTCATTACTTGGGGCAGAAAAACTCAGCCTGAGCCTCACTCTGGGAGGCTGAGGCAGGAGGATCATAAATTAGAGTCTAGCCTGGGCAGCTGAATGAGACCCCCATCTCAAAATATAAAAAATAAAATTAAAAAAGGTCCAGAATGTAGCTCAGTGTGAAGGCCCTGGGTTCAATCCCCAGTAACACTAAAAAAAACCCTAACTCGGCCAGCA